TCTCCAGGGGAACATTCCCGGGGCTCTGAGCTCTGCCTGGATCCTTCCCTTCTCCAGGGGAACATTCCCATCTCTCCCAGGCTGGCTCAGGGACAGGAAGCTCTGGGATGTTGGAGCAGCAGCTATGGAGAAGCAGCGAGCCGGGGCACTGCTACAGGAGCTATTCCAGGGATTGGGATTTGGCACAGGGATTGCACCAGACTTACCTCAAAGTTATACTCCCATTTCCCAAAATACTGAGGGAAGGGAAGACAGAAGGAAAGCGGAGTCAGTGACCCAAGGAACATTTTTTGTGCAGCCCCTGAGCTCTCCCTGGATGGAAATTCCACATCTTTGCAGGGACACCGCGACTGGGGACGCACAGTGGCAATTATCCAGGAAAAAAACATGGAATTCTGAGCGGGAAGGGATCCACAGGGATCATTGATCCAAGCCCTGGCCCTGCCAGGTTATCCCAACAATCCCATCCTGTCCCTGGGAGCGTTGTCCAAATGCTCCTGGAGCTCTGGCAGCCTTGGAATAAACCCTGAGGGATCTGTCAGGCGTAAATCCTGCGGAATTTGTCAGGAATAAATGCTGACATCGCCATCCATCCACGAGGAATTCAGCTCCTTCCTATCAGATCTGACACATTTCCAACTTCATTTTTCCCCTGGGTCCCTTCGTGCGTGCCACGTCCCAGGATCTCATCCCTCTCCACATCCAGAGGTTTCCCCGGATGTCACAACAGGAATCACCAGGCGTGGGGGCCTGGAATTTATTCAATATTCCAATACCACAAATTAAATTAGAAAATTATGAAAATAATAGGATGAAATTGTGAAAATTCCATGAAAATCCCTCAGAGAAACCCCTTTTTAGGATTATTTCATGTCCAGCTGTGGCCCTGTTGTCCATTGCCAAGCCAGAATTCCTAAAAATTCCTAAAAACCACCCCAAATCCCTCCATGCAATGCCTGAATAAGCAAGGAAAGGAAAAATCAGTGTAATTCCACTGGTAAATCAAATTAATGAATACAAGGAATTCAGGAAATATCCTGCAATTGTTTCTCTGGTGGGGGGAAAAATATTGGAATATCACAACTGGTTGTTTTCTTGGGAAAAACGTCCTGGATGTTAGGAATGTTTGGAGGTTAATAATACACTAACAAAAATATAATAATGGCAATAATGAAATGAAAGAGAAAATGTGCAGGTGAAATCTGAATATTTCAAGGAAAATTGGCAATAAAAAGCTTTACTCGATAAATCCAAGGACAGGGAATGCACTGGGATGTTTTCCAGAACAAGCAGCCAGGCCTTGGAGATGCCATAAAAACACGGAATATTCCTGTTTTAGGAGCTCCATCTCATGGCCGAGCTGAGCTTTACACAATTCCTGGGAAATTCTGCTCAGTTTAAGGGAAAAACCAGCACATTCCCTGTGTGTATTTCATTGGAAGAATTCCGGCATTCCGGGCAGGAAGGGTGGAGGTGCCCAAGGAATTCCTGGATGTGGCTGGGCTGGGGACAAGGTGGAGCTGGGGCACAGCTTGGAGCTGGGAGGGCTTTTCCAGCCTCAGGGTGGGACCAGCAGGAATTTCCCCATGGAAAGGGGCTCAGGGATTGGCACTGCCCAGGGAGGGTTGGAGTGCCCATCCCTGGAGGTGTCCCAGGAATTCTGGAGGTGGCACTCAGGGTGAATGGAAATCCCTGCGGGAATTAATTGTAAATTGAGATGGAAGCACGGAATGGGGCGAATCCCAGCAGGATTTCCTTGGAACTGGAACCTCTGTGTGTGTTCCAGCAGCAGGAATTTCCCCATGGAAAGGGGGCTCAGGGATTGGCACTGCCCAGGGAGGGTTGGGGTGCCCATCCCTGGAGGTGTCCCAGGAATTCTGGAGGTGGCACTCGGGGCTCTGGGCTGGGGACAGGGTGGGCATGGGGCACTGCTGGAACTTTGGGACCTTGGAGCTCTTTTCCAGCCTCATTTCTGGGATCCTGAGCACCAGAATCCCAAGGCTTTTCCCAGAAGGGAATATCCATCAATCCCACCCCAGCAGCAGAGGTGGCCCTGCCCCAGCCTCTTCTGGCAGAGAACATTTTGTGCTCCCCCACAGCTCCAAACCCCTCACACCAACAACAGAAAAGGAGCCCGGAAAGTCCTTAAAATCCCATTTTTTTGCATTTTGGGGGGAAAATTCTTCCTGCCAAGCGTGCTCAGGCCTTTGCAGGGGCTGCCCAGGCAGGTTGGGGTGCCCATCCCTGGAGGTGTCCCAGGAATTCTGGAGGTGGCACTCAGGGCTCTGGGTGGGGGTCAGGCAGAGCTGATGGGGCTGGGAGGGATTTTCCAGCCTCAGGGATCCAGGGATTGTCCCAGGAGCACCCCCCGGGCCCGGGATACCTCGGCATCGTACTCCCAGAGCTGGTTGCCCCTCAGGTGGTGGCACTTGAGCATGAGGACGGGGCCGTTGAGCCGCGACACGTCCAGGCACAGGTCGTCCGTGCGGATCTCCTTGTCCGCCGTGTAGGAAAACACCTGGAACACAGAGCGGGGCTGGGAAAGGGCTGGGAACCCAAACCCGGCCCTGGGAATCCCAAACTCGGCCCTGGGAATCCCAAACTCGGCCCTGGGAACTCCAAACCCGGCCCTGGGAACTCCAAACCCGGCCCTGGGAACCCCAATCCAGCCCTGGGAACCCAAACTCAGCCCTGGGAACTCCAAACCCGGCCCTGGGAACCTCAACCCCAGTTCTGGGAGTGACCCCGGGCTGGCTCGGGATATGGAGCCTGTCCTCGGAGAAATCCATGGGAATTGAGGGCAAGGGAAAGGTTTCCTTGGAGAAATCCATCAGAATTCAGGGGAAGGGAAAGGTTTTCCCCTGGAGAAATCCATGGGAATTGAGGGCAAGGGAAAGGTTTCCCTTGGAGAAATCCATCAGAATTCAGGGGAAGGGAAAGGTTTTCCCCTGGAGGAATCCATGAAATTCAAGGGAAGGAGAAGGTTTCCCTTGGAGAAATCCATGGGAATTGAGGGGAAGGTTTTCTTTGGAAAAATCCATGGGAATTCAAGGGAAAGGGGAAAGTTTCCCTTGGAGAAATCCATGGGAATTGAGGGGAAAGGAAAGGTTTTCCCTTGGAGAAATCCATGGGAATTCAAGGGAAGGGAAAGGTTTCCCTTGGAGAAATCCAAGGGAATTGAGAGGAAAGGAAAGTTTTCCCTTGGAGAAATCCATGGGAATTCAAGGGAAGGGAAAGGTTTCCCTTGGAGAAATCCAAGGGAATTGAGGGGAAGGTCTTCCCCTGGAGAAATCCATGGGAAATTCAGGGGAAAGGAAAGGTTCTCCATTGGATAAATCCATGGGAATTCAAGGGAAGGGGAAGGTTTCCTCCGGAGAAATCCATGGGAATTGAGGGGAAGGTTTTCCCCTGGAGAAATCCATGGGAATTCAGGGGAAAGGAAAGGTTTTCCAAGCCAAAAAGCAGCGAAATGAGGCCGAGCTGAGGTGAGGATGGAGGAAGTGACAGGGGGAGGTGGCAGGAGTTGGGATGAACCTCCAGGATAAATCAGGGATGGGAACATGGATCATCCCAGCCTTTCCCACCAGGAATGTGGCCAGGAGCAGGGGTCTGGTATACCAGAGCTGCCAGGGAATTGTGACCATGGAAAATTCTACACAGAAATAATTAAAAATTCTAATTCATTAAAATAGAGTTGATTTAAAATATGCTTAAAACTCCCTTAATTAAAATTTACATCCCAAACCCCATCTGGAGCAGCTATGCTAATTTGAATATCCATTGGAATATGCAAATTTTGTTCTAATTAAGCCAGAGCCGTTGGTCACAAGCCCAAGAATTCCATCCACTTTTCTTCTCCCCTCCAAAAGAAACTCCCCAGGACCCCGCTACTGTAATCCCACTGATGAACTTCCATGAATATCCTGGATATTTATTTTCCCTACACACATTCAGAACAGATGGATCCATTCCATTTTTACGAATATAAATTCAAATTCCTGATCACATTTCCTAAACATCTGGAATGTTACATTTATTATTAAATGGCAGCGGGATTCTATTCAATTTATTCACTGGGATACTTTCCATGGATGCGCACCAATATTCCCCCAAAATCTGGAGCTGAAATTGAACAAAAATTGCTGAGTCCTCTTAAAATCCTCCAGCTGGAAATCGAAAATATTTTGGAATTTTCATTGATTATTTGGATATTACTTTCACACAAAATCTAAAATATAACTGAAACAGATATTTAAAATATTCGGAAGGAATTCTTGGACAAACAGGCCACTTTCCCCTGGTTTTATTTACCTGGTTCCCTCCCATGCCGTGGCAGTTGAAAAATCCCACTTTTTCATTCTCCTTGCGGCCCATGTTGTCCAAGCACTGGTTGGTTTCAACATTCCTGATCTGGAGAAAGGAAAAAAGTGAAATATTCCTTAAAAGATTCCCTGGACCTGCCAGACTGGTGCAGAAAACTGCAATTTGTGAACATTCCCAAATAGTCAGGGAACGGCTGGGTTGGAAGTGGCCCCAGAGCTCATCCATGGCCACCTCTCACTATTCCATGCCAAGCCATGAGGGAATTCAGGATGATTATCCCAAATCCGCCAGAATCTCCATTCTTTTTCTCCCTGTTTGTCCAGAGAACAACAAAATATCCACTTGGGAAATGCACTTGGAGGTGCTGCCCACCTTTGATTGGCACCATTTTTCCTTGGATTTGAGCCCAGGAGGAGCCATCCAGAGCAGGACATGGATCATTTATGGCCTAAGGATGCTGCTCCAGCTTGGATGGATCAAATCCTGCCCAAATCTCTTCTGAAAGGAGGAAAACGTCCCAAAAATGCACTTCCAGTGCATTAAAAATTCCCCGTTTCTCTGCTGCTCCTGGGCTTTGAGGCTGCAATTCCCTTTTCCTCTTTGAGGCTGCAATTCCCTTTTCCTGCTCCACTGGAACAGCCAGGCAGGGCTTTAATTCCCAGCTCCTGCCTGAGCTGCAGTTTCCATGGGAACTGAGGCCACACTGCACTGATCAGGTGTTTCAATGGCTTTTTTCTGCCTTCCTCATCCCATTTTCCAGCCTGACAACGTGGCACAATCCCATTTTTATTTGACATTCCCTAGACAAGTCCTCTCCTTGCTGGAAACCCCCAATTTCCCTTTATTTTGGCAGGATTAAACCTGGAATCCTCCAGTGCCTTTTATTCCTGCCTACAATGGCAGATTTCAGTGGGAAATCACCTCCCTGCATGTCAAAAAAAGCCATTTGTTCCTCAGAGTGTTGTTCCAGGGTTTTTATTCCATCATCAAATCCTGTGATTGTTATTCCATCATCTCAAATCAACCCATTCCAGAGCTTTTAAAAGGCAGCGTAGGAACGACTCAGTGTAATATTTTTATCCCTGAATTTGTTGAATTTCAAAGAAATTCCAGCTCTGCTGATCCCAGAACCTTGTGATTACCGGGAATGTCCCTGACCCTCAGCTCCAGGCTGGAAACACTCAGTGAACAAACATTTCTTTAAAGAAAAATCCAAGAAAAGCCATTTCTAGTCTCTTTCTAAGCAACGAATGATGATGGAAGGTTCCCCTCAAGGGCTGCATATTCATCATGTCAAAATATTAATCCCAAACTTCACTCTTCCAATCTCCTGCTCCATTTGGAAGATAAATTTAGCTGGTGAACACGTGGAACAGACACTCGATTTAAAGGGAGATTTTTAAGGAGAGGGAATCTGTTTGGAACAGCAACTTCTCCTTAAAAAGGACTTACTGGTTTCCAGTTCTTACTGGTTTCCTTTATTCCTGGGTTTTCCTGCTTTCCCAGACTTCCTGCTGTGTTGTAGTTACTGGTTTCCAGTTCTTGCTTTACTTACTGGTTTGTTGTACTACTGGTTTCCTGCACGGATTGATCTCCTGCAATTCCTGGTCTGTTTACTCCCTGGTTTCCTGCATGTATTGGTTTCCTTTAATTCCTGGTTTTCTGCTCCTGGTTTCCTGCAATTCCTGGTCTGTTTACTCCCTGGTTTCCTGCAATTCCTGGTCTGCTTTACTCCCTGGTTTCCTGCAATTCCTGGTTTCC